ACTTCAGATTGAGATCTCAACTTTACGATTCACGAAGTTGACAAAATAGACAAGGAAAACAAGATGACGGCTGAATCAATGCTTATCCTCTCTTTCTTTCTTTCTTTCTTTCTTTCTTTCTTTCTTTCTTTGCTTCTTTTGACCTGCGGTCTTCGAAATCATGGCTGTAATGATAAGAGATTATTCGTCCGAGTGCCTTATCACATGTACCGCCTCTTGACATCAGTACAAAGCATACAAGGCAATACTTAGACCTACTTCTCGTTTTTGATGAACGGCAAATGTGGGGAAACGGTTTTTTCCTTGATACAGCCAACATACAGAAGTTTAATTAAAACATCACCTGCCTTGGGAAAAAATGCGGATTTCACTAGGATACTGTAAACATCATTCTAAAGGAACTCATTTCAGATTATGTACAATGAAACTGATGTTGACCTCTGAGGTGACGTCCATTTGGGACAATTCTTCAAAATAAAGATAGTAACAAATATAAGAAGTAATACATTCTATAGTTTCTTATTTGTTGGTTAGCAATGATTTTTGAGACCGGAAATATCATCAAATTACTCAGGTTATATGCTAAACACATACCTAAATACATTATCTATCTATCTATCTATCTATCTATCTATCTATCTATCTATCTATCTATCTATCTATCTATCTTATTCCGACCGTATCTATTGCATTCTGATTGAATCCCCCCTCTCTCTCTCTTATTCTGATCGTATCTATTGCGTTCTGATTGAATCCCTCTCTCCCTCTCTTATTCTGATCGTATCTATTTATCTATTTCCTTCTTATTAAATCTATCATATTTTGATCGAATCTATCTATCTATCTATCTATCTATCTATCTATCTATCTATCTATCTATCTATCTATCTATCTTGTTCTCCTCTTTCTTTCTTTCTTTCTTTCTTTCTTTCTTTCTTTCTTTCTTTCTTTCTTTCTTTCTTTCTCCAACTATCTAATTATCTATCATCCTTTATTCATTTTTTGTAGTATTTTTCATTCGCTCATCCACTTTTCAATTTTGTCCTATTCTTATTGGGTTTTCATATTTACATCTATTATGTCTATCCGGGCTATTCGTTGCCACCTGAAATTGCTTGTTTATGAGTGAAACTTCCTACTCAATTCAGTCAAGACAGTTTGAATGACCGGTGAGTCTACGAACTTTTATAAAGCATTTCAATTAAATTCGTTCAGATTTTGCCATGGAATTTTTTTTTTTTTTTATTATCAGGCTTTTTAAAATTTTACTTTACAAATATTTAGTCGCGGTCTAAACTGGGCCGGATCGGTGAGCGTTAGTGATTCAGTTGCCAGCTTTACCCAAAAGCGTGAAATCTCGTTCTTGCGTTGAGACTCTCGTCAAATATGCCTCAGTGTGCGATTGTTTCCGTTTGAGGATTACAACGGATTAAAATTACACTGCAAAAAGATTAGAGAGTGAGGAGGAGAGAATAATAAATAAAAAATAGGAAAGAAAAGAAAAAAACAACGACGGAAATTTATGAGGAGAAGAAAATAGAAGAAACGTTTATTATCATGGAAATGATAAAGATATGGTCGCATCGATTAGATATAAGGGTAGCATAAAGATTATCGGCAGCGAAAGTGAACTCGTCGAAATGAGTTTAATTTCCGACATAGTCTGTCGTGTTCACGTCATGCTCATTCCCTTCGTAATAGCATGGATCTATCTCTTTTGACCCTAACTATGTGTTAAATAACAGGGTAGACAGGCTTCTGTAGACTTGGTGACAACCAGTCTAAGAAAAAAAAAACTAGTCTGAATTCTATATCACGAAGACGGCAACGAGAAAACACTCCACTATCTTTTCCAAGTCACATCAATTCACAGAGAATAATGTAAGTGGGACTGTGTAGAGCTATACGCACCTATGTCTTGAAGGGATGAAGCGTTAAAAATCATTATTTATCTGACCATCTTTAACACAAAGCCATAGAATTTAATTGCTGGTCAATTATAAACAGAATAGCGTTATCTGCCTCAAAGGGATTTTATATGAGTTAAAATTGGATTCTTCTTTTATACGAATTATCCCTTTAGAATGTGGAAGCTCATAACTCTCTAGAATTAGTAGTAAAAAAATAAATCAAGTTACAAACGAAAACAAGGAAAAAAAAGACAGGTGATTGAAACCTATGCATTTTGGTCTAACATTGCAAGTTACTAGTTACATTATTTACATTATTCGGACTGTTATCCTCATCTTCATTGCCATATTCACAACGTTTCGGCCGTTGTACGCTCCGGCCTTCTTCAGGGGATTGGAATTGTTTCCCAGTGCGGGTGATAGAGCGACTCCACTGGCTAGTTAGAAATGTACACGTCGTCGTGTTTAATAAAATAGATATGTTGGGGGGGTGACTATTTGCCCAAAGCTGGGACCCTGACAGGTACTACCACCACAGGTCAGGGTGTATTTGGGAATACCAGCAATAAAGAGATGGTTCCCCGCTCCTTAAAACCTCTTGATCAGAGGCCATGCCGTTGGACGTATTTTATCGTCTTACCCAGGACGCGGATGTAGTTTATCGTCATACCCAAAACGGAAACATCAATTGTAAGTAGACTAAACGTACGTGTTTTTTTCTGCAAAAGTAACGGCCCAATCTGCTAATAGTGGACTGTGTCAAATATAATGCATTTGAAATAAAATTAATAAATTAATCTTTTTTGATGTTTGGTTAAGGAGTGTTAAATATAATGCAGCTGAAATAAAGTTCATAAATTAATTTTCTTATGGTTGGATAATGAATGTTAATTATTAGTCTAGAAAACTATTATATTTAGTGAATTGTATTCTCTTTTGACTTCATCATTTTGACCTTTGGGGTCAGATACAGGAAAAAAGAGGAAGTGGTATTTGATTGGTTAAAACTATCGTGGGAATGTTAGAGTTAGAAAGTGATTTCAAAGAGTTTAGTTTTACACGTCATACACAGCAGACGAGGTTATTTCGTGTCTCGGGGAACTTGCTCCTCAGTTGGGGGTGATAGAGCAACCCCACAGGCTCGTTATAAATGTACACGTCTATGTGTTTAATAAAATGGATATATTTTAAATCCCTTCTGTTGAAGTTCTCTTCCATCTCCGGACTCCAAAAACATTTCGACACCCGGCCAGGATAAGAGGAGCGAGAGAGAAGATACAACGTCATGGATTAGCAGCCCCAACACCCTCTTCTAACAAGGAAAAGTCTACAGCAACATGATTGTTTTCATTCCAATTCCAGATCATAATTTCTACTTTGGAAATGTCTATTTTGATTCCTATTTCTTGGAATAGTAGATGTTTTTTTTTTGTTCAAGATCAATTTTATCCCAATTAGGAATAACCATGGCGTCGGCATAGCCCCTCGTCATCAGTACATGGGCCGGGAGAGGTGAAATAGGACGCTATGATAAATGGATATTAAACAGCATTTTAATATAGCGTAATGCAACTATAGTGTGTGTAGAATATATTTTGCACATAGTGGCCTTCAAAGAAGCCAGGTGCCATGTTGTTCTGAGATTACACCCTAGCCTCTGGTAGAGACCCGTGATTTACCCAGTGCTAGTGGCGACACAGAGAGCTGAATACGTGTCTAACTAGTTAACATTAGATTACCTCCTTGATTATTCATTGAAACTGCTATCCACCTAAAAGAAAAAAAATGTAGCTAGTTCCCCACCTTGAACCATTTAAAAGATAGTCCGAGCAGCGGATTGGTTGTTACAAACACCCAATCGGGTGTGCGGAAAACGTGGTCTTTCTTCGTCTAATTCTTTAAAAAGACCAGAGTAGCTGTTAGCGTTTGATTGTGAGGGGAAATCAGGGGTTGATTTCCCCTGATTGGGTCGACTTTGTGATGGGGTGTATGATGTTGAAAGACCCGAAACTCCCTGATGAACCATGTCAAATTACATCACTGACGACCCCTTCCGGCGCTTACTTAAGGGCGTATTTTTTGAATTATGCGACTGATAAGTGAGCGTGTGGGGAAAAGCTTTGGACAGGTAAATGCAGAAACATCAACAGGTTGCAGGAGCAGTCTCTCTCGGACATCGCACTCAAAACGGTAAGGTCAAAGTTCGAATTGGATGGCATGGGGCCGATCGCTCACAAACTGTCCGAGAATCATTAATGAAGTATTGGTCTGAATAAAAATGCAAGTGAAACGCATATATGCGATCCATTCGCATATGATGCTGGAAAAATGGCCGTCTGATGCTTTCGCGCCCAGAAGTATCTGGTGCATGCTGCTATGCTTTATATTTACACGAGTCAGATTAAATCAAAATATTGCTGTCATATCTGTTCAGTTCGCCTTTTCCAGCTTTAAGAGTTCAATATCATTTCAGTAGGTTTTTTTTTTGGGGGGGGGAGTATAGGTTCACCATTTTTTAAACTCTTTATCTACAGACAGATATTGCAAACTTATTGTTAGTCTATCGTAAGTACCATGGCGAATGTTCATATGAGCTCCATCGATCCACCAGTTCGGACCTTTAAAATCAGAACACGCTCTGCTACTGCCACTGAGTCGAATCATCATTTTTCCTCCGTAAATTCCTGCTCAGACAGCTTTTTTTTTACCAAGAACTCCTACTTTGTAAAAATACTTTCGCGTGGATGATTACAATTTTCAACTTTTCATATCAATGAGCGGAGGGGTTCGTTATCTCTCCTCATAAGCTTCCTTTTCTACCATCTGTTTTATTCTTATCACTGACATCATTCATCGTAACCATTTTAACAATATCACTCTACTTTGAGTGGCTCTAGATTGGCTTTATAAAAATTCTACTTGATTTAGTACAATAATAAATTATGCTTATTGGATGATATAGACATTTACATTTCTGACTCGATGTTATCACAGATTCGCGAAGTATGTGAAATTATTTGTCGAGTAAAATATAGGCCGTTTGTTTGCTCGCTAAGTTGTGCGGCCTCCTATGAAAAATAGCCTTCCAACTCAAACTACATGGATGGATAGGAACGTAATGAGGTATGGCGTACAACTAGATCTAAATAGTGCTTTAGAGAGATAGGTAGGTAGATCGATACATACATACATAGATACATAGATAGATATGAACAGACTGAGATAGATATGAACAGATTGAGATAGATAGATAGATACATACATCCATACATACATATATAGATACATAGATAGATATGAACAGACTGAGATAGAGATGAACAGAGTGAGATAGATATGAACAGATTGGGATAGATAGATAGATAGATAGATAGATAGATAGATAGATAGATAGATGATAAAATAGACTGAGATAGATATGAACAGAGTGAGAGGTAGATATATATATATATAGATAGATAGATATGAACAGATTGAGATAGACAAGCAGATAGATAGATAGATAGATAGATAGATAGATAGATATAAACAGACTGAGATAGATATAAACAGATTGGGATAGATAGATAGATAGATAGATAGATAGATAGATAGATAGATAGATAGATAGATATGAACATATTGAGATAGATAGATAGATAGATAGATAGATAGATAGATTAGCAGAAAATAATTGTTGTTGATAGAAGGAAGACAGAAAATACAGGATTCGCCTCCTGTGTACAGAATCGATGTCTCTTTAGTCACAGCCGAGCGGGCCCGTTGCTTTTGAAGCATTTGCTTTGTCTCAGCCTCCCCACCCCATACCAAACCGGAACACACTCGACAACCGACGCCGCCTGCTGTGACGTTAGCTTTCTTCTCTAGTTCGGCTTGCAATTATGGAAAAAAAAAAGGCAGAACTGATGATACGTAAAGCACGTTTGGTTAGATGAGGGTCCCTGCTGTTCGTTTTATTCTTCGGCTCGGCTTAGCAATTTTTTGTCTGAAAAATCTTCACCGCAAAAGACTTTGACGATAACTATACTGCCGATACGTCTTGAAAATGATATCTACTCATTTTTCTTACATCTATAAATTCACGTATGAGTCTTTTCGAATCATTATTTTTTACTGTAATTTATCGAAAAGGGATATTGTTCCATTTTATACTGCTTATTTTACGGTCGTCTAGTGTTAGACTATCTGAACATTGTCATAAAGAAATAACCAAAACATTATGAAAACTGGAAATAAATAACAATGCTTTATCTAAGAAAAAAAAAAGAGAAACTTCAGAGAATATTAATACTATGAGTATGAGTGGATGTGAAAACAAGCTATTGGAATTTCTTTTTATGTGTCATGTCCTTTCATGACATAGGCGATCATGGTTCTCCACCTCCTTCTATCCCTTGTAGCTCTTAACAAGTTCCTTTCATCTGCTTCCTCCCTCAGACCACGTTCTGTAATCCACTTTCTTAAGTCCGCCAGGTATATCACGCGTTTTTTCCCCTGTCTCTCTTTCCCCTCTATTCGATCCGTGAGTATCAGATTCTCCAGGTCCTCCTTCCTCATTATGTGTCCCAGAAACTTCAGCTGTCTCTTCCTGATATTAACTATAAGCCTGCTCGGCCCGGGGGCAATGATCAAAGTGTAGTACGCTGCCTTTGTAAGCTTCCGAGTCGGCGTCTGTCGAACTCTCTGCATTAGCAGAGAGGAACCCGGATGAAGCTTTGCCGAAGGGCAAGGTTTCGTTCGGGGAGGTAGACAGGGCCTGAATCCGTCTAGGCAGGTTCAAAAAGGCTATATACCCACATTAAACCGGCCTTGTGCCACATTCTATCCTCCTGGGTGGATTGATAAATACTTAACTATAAGCCTCCTCCTTGTTTGCAGCCTCTCTAAGATCTTATTGCTGCTGACACGTTCGGTCCATGATATCCTTAGCATCCTTCTGTAGAACCACATCTCTGTCGCCCCGAGTCTCTTCTTCATCTATGAGGAAATCGTCCAACATTCGCTGCCGTAAAGAAGGACAGATGTCACTTAACAGCTCAGTATTCTTTTCTTTGTTACCAAAGATATCCTCCTGTCTCGCAATACTCCGCCCAGCTTTTGGAATGTCTCCTTGGCCATCCCGATACGCCTACGGTCTCAGTGCCGCACTTACAAAATAAAATTGGCAATTATTCTCGAAATGGCTTCAGATCAGTTGTTAACTGGGGCAACAATGGCTTGTAAAATTTAACACCTCCAAATCGAAACTGTTATACTTTAATCTTTATAGACAACCCCCCACCATCAGCACGGATGATGGTAACCTCTAGAAAAGCAACTCATTGGGCTTTCTTGGTCTCGCGTTTTCTACTGGCATGAAATAGAGTGATTATATTGAATTGCTTCGTTGCTGTTTTTCAGGAAGGTGACTTCCTGACGTTATCGGTCTGGAGGAGGCGATCTCAGCATGCAGCGCCTTTGGAAGTTATCAGAAAACCATACCACAGTTTGCCCTATGCATTGTGAGCGAAATTAGGAAGACGGAACCCCTTCGGAGCCGCTGATAGTTTTGCTGACTGAGGGTTTGAGAATGCTAGCCTTGTTCAGACTGTTGATCAAGCTAGAAAACGTGATCTCTCGCAGGTGGGCTCTGTGGGTGTCGAACACTCACAAATGTGGCTGAGCAGGCCTCTACAACAGGGATTAGAGAGCCGCACTAATAGACGGGCATCCTCGCCATCCATCCAAAATCCAAATGTGCCGGATGTTTATTTAGAGATTATCGATAAATTCCAATGAAGGGTCCTGGCCTGGAATCCCAATTTTACACAAACTTGACGTGTCTTTTCTACAAATATTTTCATGACAGTTGTTCTAATAGGCTCTCCTCCGTTTCGTTGTATTTTGACCGCGTGAATTTAAGTGTACTACTGGATTGGCAATTAGATCTCATCTTTTTACTGGTGAAAAAGCTAGATGCAACCGTAAGTTCTATTCTAATAGTTCCTTCTCTCGCTGTCCATTCTCCTCACTAAAGATTTCGCATTTTTTCTTATTGTAATCGAATGTCCCACGCTCCCTATCGCCTATGTGCACTGACTATGTAAGTAGCTATATATGGTGAGCACATGATATATCTGTGGGCTTGCTTTGGCAATAAGTTGGAGATTCGTCTCCAGCTGTACTAGTCGAGCTCTCTGCCTCAGAGCAGAGAGGAACTTAGACGAGGATATGCCGAAGTGGTAGATAGCTACCCGACTACGTTTTTGACGGGGTCTACGGGAATTTTTGCCCGAGCCTACGGGATCGGATACCCCACGTTAAATTCGGCCTTTTGCCACATCCTGCCTTGCGGGAAGGTGAGGTAAATAACCTTGCTTCGGCAATTAGTTGGAGATTCGTCTCCAGCTGAGCTAGTCGAAATCTCTGTCTTCGGGCAGAGAGCAACCCAGATAAGGCTATGCCGAAGGGCAGAATCTCGTCTGGGGAGGTAGACAGCTACCCGACCCCGTTTTTTACGGGGTCTACAGGGAAATTTTGCTCAAGCCTACGGGCTCAGTTTAACCCCTTGTGCCACATCCCGCCTCTCAGGGAGGTAAGGTAAATAACCTTGCTTTGGCATTTAGTTGGAGATTCGTCTCTAGCTGTGCTGGTGGAACTCTCTGCCTTTGAGCACGGGGGAACTCAGACGAGGCTATGCTGAAGGGCAGAGTCTCGTCTGAGGTGGTAGACAGCTACCCGACCCCGTCTATACGGGGTCTACGGGGAATTTTTGTCCGAGCCAACGGGTTCGGTTTTAACCCCGCATTAAAAAAATGGCCTTGTGTTACATCCTGCGTCGCGAGGAGTTAAGATAAATATCCTTGCTTCGGGAATTACTAGCCTGCCACCCGATTCCCTGTCTTTCAGTAGTGTATTTTCTTTTACAACAAACCTCTCTTTCATCTACGCGCGTGTTTCTGTTCCTTCACTCGAGTACCACTTTTGTCTGTTTGTAACATCTTTAAGGATACAACACTTCTACTCCCAGTAACCCATTGCGTCTTAGTGGCATTAGCGCTTTGCTTGTCGTGAAATGATAAAAATGCATTTCACCTGAGCGATGCATGCTGAAGATTATGACTACATGACTAAATGTGAAGGATGTCAGATTTTGTAGCCCAATAGAAGAGGTATTTTCCCAATCACTGTGGCTTCCAGGGAAAGGGATATTGAATTTTGATTTTTAATCGATAACTCATGATTTTTAATTTATGGTCGAAGGGTACAAGGGTTCCTTCCTTTCGCTAAGTATGCATGTTAGACTAATCATCTTTTTCGTACTTTTTGCTTTCTTTCTTTCTTTCTTTCTTTCGTTCGTTGGCTATCTATCTATCTATCTATCTATCTATCTATCAGACTAATCATATATTTCTTTTCTCTTTCTTTCGCTATCTATCTATCTATCTATCTATCTATCTATCTTAATCATATATTTCTTTCTTTTTCGAGTATTTCTTTCGCTATCTTAGCCTAATCATATCTTTTTCCTTTCTTTCTTTCGCTGACAATCTATCTATCTATCTATCTATCTATCTATCAATTATAGATCAATTACATATTTCTTTCTTTCTTCTATTGTTCATATTGACATCTATCTATCTATCTATCTATCAGACTAATCATATATTTCTTTTTCCTTTCTTTCGCTATCTATCTATCTATCTATCTATCTCAGTCTGTTCGTATCTATCTATCTATCTATCTATCTATCTATCTATCAGACTAATCATATATTTCTTTTTCCTTTCTTTCGCTATCTATCTATCTATCTATCTATCTATCTATCTATCTCTCTATCTCAGTCTGTTCATATCTATCTATCTATCTATCTATCTATCTATCTATCTATCTATCTATCTATCTATCTCATCCTGTTTCTATCTATCTATCTATCTATCTATCTATCACTGATTATTCATATATTTCTTGATGTTTTCGTTCTGTATTATATTTTTGTTACATACTTATTTTTTGGCTCCTGTTTTTCTACCTATCTGCGTATCTATGTAAAGACCAATTCATAATGATTCATGTTTACAGCCATTACACCACCAGCAACATAATGGAGAGAAGAACCGTTTCCTCTTTACAGACGTCGACATTTAATGTAGACATTACCGCATTTTTGAAAAAAGAAAAAAAAATGAAGGAAAAATAATTGCAGCGTCTCAAACAGTAAATGAAGTCTAGTATTCGCCTTTTAGAACTGGTCTTCTTCGCTTCATGGCGCTTGAACATGTCGGTTCCATCTGCTAGCAGAGTTGCACATTTGGCAGTGGAATCATTCCTTTTCGTGCATCGGAGCTGATCGCTGTGCAAATCACATCGACAGATGTCAGGAAATTGTCTTGTATTATTAATATTATTATTTTTTTTTTTATCAAAGCTGATATGTCATTGGGCTAGGCTCATTCAAAAAGACGTCTTCTTCCAGATGTTTGTACAATATGTATACGAGGCTAGTTTGTTGAGAATTGTTTTGGGAAAGATGCCTTCTTATATACTTATGCACAGGTTGTTGCTTTTTTTTTTACTGCGCTTGCCTTAGCACAATGAAAAGACCGCATTATGACTAACGCTGCTCTATTGGGCTTTCTCGGTATATTCACAGGCATGTACATTCTATTTGTCTCTGTTGCTGATGATGTTCTGTAGTTTTTCAAAGTTGCTCTTTGTGTCTTCGAGTGGTTTTGATAAATCTTTTTACTGGTTGGCATCTAATAATTTTGCCATGAAGCGGTTACCACAGCAGTACGTCAGCGCCAAACTTTCTTTTTGGCGCCAGTAGTGTCTCACCAATCTTAATTTAGAGAATGGAAACAAAAAGAAACCTTATACACCAGGAAGAGACAGTTGAAATTTCTAGGGTACATAATGAGGAAAGACGGCTTGGAAATTTTGATACTCACGGGACGGAATGAAGGCAAGAGGGACAGAGGGAAACAACGCATAACCTACTTAGTGAGCTTGAGTAAATGGTTGGCGAAACAAGGTTTAGGAGAAATAACAGATTAAGAGCGACAAATGACAAAGAATTTTGGAGAGCCATTATTGCCTATCATATCTGAAGGGACACAGAGAAAAAGAAGATGGTTTCACTCAAAGATCTGAAAGATTTTCCCATAGAGCATTGTTATGGGAACTTACCTATAACGATAATGGACTCTTCCTGACACTATAAATACTGCGCCTCTCAAGAGATATAATGAATAAACGGTGTAACCAGCTCCAGTTCATGACTGTTGAACTCTCTGCTTTGGCAGAGAGGAACCCAGACGAAGCTTTGTCGAAGGGCAGGGTTTCGTCCGGGGAGGTAGACAGGCTCTGAACCCGTCTAGGCGGGTTCAAAGGGTATATTTTTGGCCGAGCCTACGGGCTCGGAGAAAGCCACTTTAATCTCGGCCTCGTGCCACATATATTCCTCGTGGGTGGGATATTAAATACCGAGATACGTCGAGATACAGTCTCGACGTCTGTCGAACTCTCTGCTTTGCCAGAGAGGAACCCGGACGAAGTTTTGCCGAAGGGCAAGGTTTCATCTGGGGAGGTAAACAGGCCATGAACCCGTCTGGAGCGGGTTCAAAGGGTATATTTTTGGCCGAGCCTCGTGGGTGGGATATTAAATACAATGAATGGTGTAACGAGTCGAGACAATATTAGTTCACTCTGAACCAGACGGGCAGTCATTACTAACAACTTCAACTTCTTGTACTATATTTCTGTTGTAATATATCTTTGTTATTCTATTCTTGTATTCGTTTTGTTCTTCCTTGGTTCTAACCTTGGACCATAACTGTGGTGCGAGGATATTGGACCATAACAAGCTTCTTGTTTGAAAGGTGTTGACTCCAGCTTCTATTAGGAGCAGCCTGGAACATTTTAGTGTAAACACCAGTACCAATAACCTATATTTATATGAAGTAATTTTTGTTTTTCGGAACCAATTGTAATATCGAACGTATCATCCTAACTAACCGTTCCTTAAGTATATCATAAGAAGTGATGAAAAGTGGGTTACATACAACAATGTTCATCGCAATAAGCAGTAGATTGGTAAGGATCATCTTCACAACCGACCTACAGAAGAAAAGTAATATGGTGCGGTTAATATCTTATTTTTTCTTTTACTTTTATGTGTCTTGTTTTTTCAGGATGTTGGCGATAATGGCTCTCCACAATTTCTTGTCCTTTGTAGTTTTTAATAAAAATTTAAAAATCTATACTAAACCTTGATCTGCTAAACCTTTACTTAAGCTCGCTAGGTAGGTTATTCGTGGTTTTATCCCTTGCCTCCAATCTGTCCTGCGGGGTTCTTAAAAAGCAATGAAACGCTAAATGCAAGTTTATACATGAAACAGCATCAGTGTCAATAAACGCTTGGTCAAATGGCTGCCTGCATTCATCAATAGAAAGAATTTGCTTCTTCCCGTAGCCATGCAAGATTGCATACAGCAAAAGTAACACGGGAAAAATATTCTGGAACCCTCTTGGCCGGTTCTATCCCTCTCAGCATGTTTATATGCACCAACCTATTAAAATCTTTTTCTATCGCTGAGAAAAGTTTTGAAGGAGAACACTTTATTAAATGAGACCAGATTCCAGTTTCCACATTAAAATCTGCGGAATTTTACTGAAAGAACGTTGAAGACAAGTCATTTTTATAAAAAGTGGGAATATATAATATTTCTTGCAGTTTGTGCAGCGTTTGTTCTTTCTTTCTGGAAATGTAATGGCATCAGATGTCGAAATTGAATCACATTTTATCGCATAAAATTAGCATACAAACATTTAAATCTACTCATGAACCTTATAGAAAAACACGTTGAACTGCTACCTTTCAATATATATATATATATATATATATATATATATATATATATATATATATATATATATACGAGCTTCATTAAATATGACAGACAAGGTACTTTGATTAATTTTTTTAATATAATTTCTGATATGATCTTATATTTTTCTTTTCTAAATTATATTAAATTATAAAAAACTAAAGTATACAAAAACTGTCCAATTGTTTTATTTTTCCAAGCGTTTTCAGCTTTACCTTCAAGAATGAATTATATTTTCTCTTAACTGAAAATGGATTGTTTTATGTATGTATGTAGCATTATAGAATGCTTTATTTTCAAAACATTGTCAACATATTGTGTCCATGTTCATAGCTGATATTATTGAGTGTTGTTTTTTTGGTTTTATTAATAAGGCTTCCATTATTTTTAGCCTTTTTACGATTTTATTATATTTGTGTTGTTAACAAGTATTTTTTACGATGCTATTATATTTGTTTTATTAACAAGTATTTTTACGGTGCTATTATATTTGTGTTATTAACAAGTACTTTTTATTATATTTGTGTTGTTAACAAGTATTTTTTACGATGCTATTATATTTGTGTTATTAACAAGTATTTTTAATTATATTTGTGTTGTTAACAAGTATTTTTACGATGCTATCATATTTGTGTTATTAACAAGTATTTTTACGATGCTATTATATTTGTGTTATTAACAAGTATTTTTAATTATATTTGTGTTGTTCACAAGTATTTTTTACGATGCTATCATATTTGTGTTATTAACAAGTATTTTTTACGATGCTATTATATTTGCGTTATTAACAAGTATTTTGCGAATAGCGTCCAGTAAATGCCCATGAGTATTGAAATGAAACCTAATTGAGCTATTTAAATACTCATAGAGACCTGCCGGTCCCTATTCGCAACATACTATTGAGAAAGTTACGAACTTCTGTTCCAGTCCAAAATAAATATATGTAGGTGTTTCTGTGTACTTTTGAAAAAAAAAATTTTAAATTTAATACACTTTCCAAATGCCTGAACCTATTAGCTGCAATTCCTTTTTCCATTCATGTGCGTTGCACCACCGTGGGAGGAATTCACGTGATGTCAAAGTGTTAATTAACTTATTCAATGACATTTTTTTTACCGATTACCAGGGGACTGCAATTGGGATAAAAGCTAAATAAAGATTATCTTCCTTATCTAAACGAAGAAAAAAAAGTGTATCTTTTGTTCCTCAAAAAGCAACTAAGAGCAAAAAAGGAAATACATTTGAAACTAAAGACAAAAAAAAGATGGTAGTGTTAAAAACAGACGCCTGGTTTTAGAAGAAATCATTTTTATTTTTTATTTTTATTTTGCGGTTTAACATTACAGTTTTATTTTATTTATTTATTTATTTATTTATTTTTTTTAGAGATAATGGAATTTGTTAGATTACGTTACTTTATTTTAAGTTTTAAAATGTTTTTTTTTTTTCGTCTGAGTGAATCATTTCTTTTTGTTTCGGAAGAGCAAAAAAGAAAGAAATTCGGTGGTAATATTTTGTTAATCTGTGTCAGATTTTTTTTTAGTTTCAAATCAAACTATCTTCTAGCATAAAATTTTCTTACAGTTATTCACTAAGATAAATTTAATTTAGGTTCATTCCAACGTAATAGGTAAACAGCGATGACATCTAACTTCTGCTTCGTAATGATCAACAACTTACCTTCCTTTTTTATTGCTTATTCCTATCTTTTTTTCCGTCATTGTTAAAAGTTTTTTAGCTGCTCTCCTAATTTTTATCATCCTCTTTTCTTTGTTTTCTTTAATTGAATTTTCTTTAATCTTTTTTTCTTTTTTCTTTCTTTCTCTTTTTCTTTCTTTCAAGAAATGAATATGCTAGCTTCTTTCTTTTCTTTTTTCTTTCATTACAAGGATATGCTAGTTATTTTAGTTATTTCTATTTTTTCTTTTTTTTTCTTTCTAGAAATGAATATGCTACTTTTTCTTTTTTCCTTTCTTTATTTTCAGAAGTAAACATGTTATTTTCTTTCTTTCTTTCTTTCTTTCTTTCTTTCTTTCATTTTTACTTTCAATAAACAAATGTAATACTTTCTCTCTCTTTTTCTTTCTTTCAAGAAATGAATATGCTAGTTTCTTTACTTTTCTTTCTTTCTTTCTTTCTTTCTTTCTTTCAAGAAATGAATATGCTATTTTCTTTCTTTCTTTCTTTCTTTCATTCTTTCTTTCTTTCTTTCTTTCATTCATTTTTACTTTCAATAAACAAATGCGATACTTTCTCTCTCTTTTTCTTTCTTTCAAGAAATGAATATGCTAGTTTCTTTACTTTTCTTTCTTTCTTTCTTTCTTTCTTTCTTTCTTTCTTTCTTTCAAGAAATGAATATGCTATTTTCTTTCTTTCTTTCTTTCTTTCATTCTTTCTTTCTTTCTTTCTTTCTTTCATTTTTACTTTCAATAAACAAATGTGATACTTTCTCTCTCTTTCTTTCTTTCAAGAAATGAATATGCTAGTTTCTTTACTTTTCTTTCTTTCTTTCTTTCTTTCTTTCTTTCTTTCTTTCAAGAAATGAATATGCTATTTTCTTTCTTTCTTTCTTTCTTTCTTTCATTCTTTCTTTCTTTCTTTCATTCATTTTTACTTTCAATAAACAAATGTGATACTTTCTCTCTCTTTTTCTTTCTTTCAAGAAATGAATATGCTAGTTTCTTTACTTTTCTTTCTTTCTTTCTTTCTTTCTTTCTTTCTTTCTTTCAAGAAATGAATATGCTATTTTCTTTCTTTCTTTCTTTCTTTCATTCTTTCTTTCTTTCTTTCTTTCTTTCTTTCTTTCATTTTTACTTTCAATAAACAAATGTGATACTTTCTCTCTCTTTTTCTTTCTTTCAAGAAATGAATATGCTAGTTTCTTTACTTTTCTTTCTTTCTTTCTTTCTTTCTTTCTTTCTTTCTTTCTTTCTTTCTTTCAAGAAATGAATATGCTATTTTCTTTCTTTCTTTCTTTCTTTCATTCTTTCTTTCTTTCTTTCTTTCATTTTTACTTTCAATAAACAAATGTGATACTTTCTCTCTCTTTTTCTTTCTTTCAAGAAATGAATATGCTAGTTTCTTTACTTTTCTTTCTTTCTTTCTTTCTTTCTTTCTTTCTTTCTTTCTTTCTTTCAAGAAATGAATATGCTATTTTCTTTCTTTCTTTCTTTCTTTCTTTCTTTCCATGGGTATGCTGTTTTTTTTTCGTTATTTCTTTCAAGAAATGAATATGCTAGTTTCTTTCTTTCTTTCTTTCTTTCTTTCTGTTTTTCTTTCATTTTTACTTTCAATAAACAAATGTGATACTTTCTCTCTCTTTTTCTTTCTTTCAAGAAATGAATATGCTAGTTTCTTTACTTTTCTTTCTTTCTTTCTTAGACTGTTGATTAAAACATTTTTGTTACAAACACTTTTAATTTGAAAATCCATTAAAAATTGCTGTATTCTTGAAAATAAAAAAGAGACAAATAAGTGAGATCATTGTAAAGTAGAAGAAAAGAAACGGGATGATAACAACAAAAAAAAAAAAAACTTGTGTACCTCAGAACACCTACGGTTCTCACTTTTAACATTGCATCCATCGACATCCGTTTTCAATATTCAATCTGAAACAAATCCAAAATGACTTCTTTCCTTTTCCTTCGTGCATCCCACATTCGTGCATGCGCAGAGAGAGAGAGAGAGAGAGAGAGAGAAACGCTTGCGTACAAGAGAACATCTTTAACAGAGAAATCTCTGTAGATAAGGAAAGATGACAATAAATGATAACACAAATCATATTGATTACTTGGGAAAAATTTAAAGAAATAATATACGATAGTATTTTTATTAACTGGTGAATGGGCAAAATGATATTTATTTATTTTATTTAATAACAGGTAAAGGGCAAAATAAAATCGCTAATATATATATATATATATATATATATATATATATATTAATTAGCAGTTGCCTTTATTTCCCTGCTCAACGTTGTTTTTTCCGTTAATTGATTGATTTCTTTTTTACGGCTTATATGTGATATGCCTATAAGCTCTTTGTCGAAATATATATATATACGTGGCCGAGGGGTTAGAACGTTCTGACCATGAGACAGGGTTTCGAATCTCACCATGATCGATCTGTCAGAAATGTGACTTCCTGATGTTATCGGACTGGAGGGGTCGATCCCAGCGTGCGACACCTTTGGAACGTGGCTGAAAACCATACCACGGTTTGACCCAAGACACACAGACACACACACGGACCCTACACACCATACAAAGTGCGTGCATATATATATATATATATATATATATATTTTCATTATAATATAACAATATATATTTATGAGAAGGGATACATATATACGTACTAATGAAAACACGCGCACACAGAATACACATATATAGAAAGAGATACAGAGAACATAAGAAATGGCGAAAATAAGAATGGCGACCTGCTTCCTTCTCAATTGTTTTATTAACCTTAAGCAGAAGAATATTTTCTCCACAATTTCAAGAAGAATTTGGATTACTGCTACACATAAAAAACAATGATTAAACACGAGAAAACATAATGAGAAAATTAATTCTTTTAAATAATATGGAGAAATAACCATTCTTCACCTGATGAAGGTCACAAGATATATATATATATATATATATATATATATATATATATATATATATATATATATAGTTTATGAAAAACTAGGTAATCCGTATAGTAAACCTAACGAGGATAAAATCCAGAGAGCTCAATGTAAATCCAGAGCAAATAATTTAAATAAAACAGACCACTTTAAGGTTCCATGTAATAAATTATTTCACCACAGCCCTTTTAAAATGACTGTGGATCATCAGACTTTTTACTTCAAAACTTGGTCTGATGATCTGCAGTTCTTTTTTAAAAGGGCTGTGAAAATATTTATTATCATGGAAATTCTTAAAGATCTATATATATATATATATATATATATATATATATATATATATATATATATATATATATATATATATATATATATATATATATATATATATATATATATATATATATATATATATATATATATATATATATATATATATATATATATAAATATATATATGTATAAAATTGTACAAAATTAGCAAATTGTAACATCATGGGGTAATTGTCCCTCTCACAAAATGTTTAATATCTACAAAAAATCACTAAATTAATTGAGTTGCTTTTTTCCTGGTTATCATATAAATAAAATCACTGAAAGACCATTTGAGTTATTCAGCTAGAAAGAGAACAGCTTAAAATCATTTTGTCAGGCCCACTATGTCATCGCAACAGAGCAATGGTGAAATGAAAAACATCATTCAAACATTTTAATAATGGTGCTAACATTCATACACTAGCTTCCATCTTAAAAGAAACGGTGAATAAGTTTAAAACATGGGGAACAGTAGAACGGAAATCTGGATCAGGAGGTCACAAAGGCAAGAGGGATAATCATTTCAACTTAGAACGAAATACATTCTTATTGTTCAAAGTAGAGTCTAAAAGAGTTATAAAAACCTCGGAGAATTCCAGTAAGATATCTTTAATCATTTCTAAGTTACAACGGTTCAAAACTTAATCTAACAATTGGATAATTTTGCTGTTACATCCGGTATACGTCAGACCCCTGTCTATTTGTAAGTCTCTTTAGAAACATTCCAACTTCTCCCAAAATAATGTGCTCAACGACCTCCCCTATTCTATATATTTTTCATGTGGTCGGCAATGTTTAGATAATTTTAGACGTTCATTTGCTTGAAATATTACACTATGGTCCAATGAAACATCAATATCTGCTCTCTGAAATATCATTTTTTTTATTTCCCCTTCTTTTATGTAATTACTAAATTTGACCTCTAATCCTAAACTGGGTTTTTCTGTCGAATTTCCAATTAGCAAATAATTTTCTAAATTTATTCATTATGACAGTTTTTGTTTTATGCATATTTTAATAATCAAATTCTAGCCGTTTGCATAAACAGTGCAATTGTTTATAGTTTTGTAGGAATTCTGGAATTAAAAAGATTCGATTTTCCGATAGACAAAGTAAACTCTCTCATCGTGTTTGTTGAAATAATTTGAAAAGGATGACGCTATCTTCGTTTATTTTTATTTTCTTAAGATGGAAGCAGTAATACTGGCGCTAAAAGTCGAGCTCATGTCACTGTCTGTTTCGATTGTAATGAGTGGTGGGTGGAGGAAAGGCTATTGACACTCTTCAGTAACTCAAATTTAAAGATAAAAAAAATGATATCGATAAGGTAGGAGAAAGCTCATTGAATTATTCAGTTTTATTTTTACCATTTAATCAAATTTTTCGTTTTCTTTTCCCAAGCATAGGCATTTACATTTTATTTATTTCTTAGGCTAGGATAAAAAGAAATTCTTTACAGTTGTATTTGCTTTTTATTTTTATTTATTTTAGCTATTTATTTTTGTAACGAAAAAGTGCCGAAAGAAATAAACGTCTTTTCTCCTGCCTTGCATTGACGCTTTCATCTCATACGAAGAACTGCTGATGTGGTAAAAATATGTAATGGCCGACTACAAGACTGTCATGCAACAGAATAATATCTCCCCGGAATACATCATAACTTCTTGGTGCCTTAGTAAAAAAAAAAAAAATATTTAAAAGTTTTCCTTATTGGACAGAAATACACTCTGAGTCTGTAATACTATCACTATTGCGACCATCATGGTAACAGAAATGGAAAATATTCTGAAGAAACTCAAAGAAAAACAAGACAAAATATTCTAGAGAACATATATTTGCTTATATAACAACTTCAAAATGAACTCTGTAAGAAAACTTGCTGGGAATGAAGCAGAAATTAACAATAATTACGCACACACACACACATTCGTCTCTCTCTCACACATATATATATATATATATATATATACATATTTTCCAAGCGTAGCTCAGATGTGGCACAAGGCCGAACGTATGAGGTACCCAGTGGGAATCGAACTCACTACTCAGTCGCAATAGTTCTGAGCGAGACAAGCTTGCTAACCATTACACCACCTATATATACACACACAAAAACACACAAAAAACACACACACACAAAAATATATATATCGGTGGTGTAATGGTTTCTAATATATATATATATATATATATATATATATATATATATATATATATATATATATATATATATATATATATATATATATATATATATATATATATGTGTGTGTGTTTGTACGTGCGTGTATATTGATATAATAGGAAAGAACTGTTAGATTGATGATTCAGTTCTTTAGTATGTTTGATTTTATTTAAAAAAAAATAGTGCTCGATACAAAAGTAGAGCCTAGATTATAATTATTTAAAAAAAAAAAAAAAATGTGATTCCATCGCGACACAGAAATTACTGTTTCGAAATTGGTCAACAGTATTTAAGTTTAATTCCAATATTAGACCATAATCACGGGTGGGGGTAGTTTCATCCTCAATCGTTGTTTTGGAATAACTATGGTATGGAATGTTTTAATCATTTATAGTTTTAAAATGGAGGTGTGATTTAGAGTTTGTTTTTTCTTTATCAAGGGGTAACTGCTTTGATGGAAGTAGGGGTGTTTGTGGTATGTCAAGTTTTTGGAGTCGTGTAAGGTTGTTTTTTTTTAAAAAGTTGGGTTGGGTTTAAAAAAAAAAACAACCCGACCTTACACGACTCCATATATATATATATATATATATATATATATATATATGCCTTCATATATGTACTGCGAGTGTCGGATTTTCCGAGCTATCTTTCCTCATTATGCCAGTTTTTTCTTGATTCTGATTATGTGTCCGTTTTGTTTTCATTTCGCCAAAACTTCTTAGTAGCTTACACGTTGCGACCATGGTATTCTCAGCATCCCTCTGTAGAACAACATTACAGTAATGTAAAAAATAAGTATACATAGATTTTAGATATTTTTTTACATTTTAATTAAAGATATTGTGCGTTCCAAGGACATGTTGATTAATATCTATCTATCTATCTATCTATCTATCTATCTATCTATCTATCTATCTATCTATCTATCTATCTATCTATCTCATTCTGTTTCTATCTATCTATCTATCTATCTATCTATCTATCTATCTATCTATCTATCTATCTCATTTTGTTTCTATCTATCTATCTATCTATCTATCTATCTATCTATCTATCTATCTATCTATCTATCTCTGTTAGATGTGCACGTGTAAGGACCTGTGTAAAATTTGATCTGCTTTCCACATCGATTTTACGTAGATAGACAGATATATTGATAGTATCTATCTATCTATCTATCTATCTATCTATCTATCTATCTATCTATCTTAGACTAATCATTTCTTTCTTTCTTTCTTTTATTTGTCCACATTGTTATCTATCTCTCTATCTATCTATGTTCAATTATTTTTGTTTCACTGTTAAATCTATCTATCTTCGTTGGATGTACATGAGTAAGGGCATATCTAAATTTGATCTGCTCTTCAGATCGATTCTACTCAACAGAAGTATCTATTATTATAACTTTGGTTAGAAAGCTTGTCTAAGCGCTAAAATAATACCTTCCCAATTCACGAGGCTTCTCTGCTTTTGACCGCATGAGGAGGAACCTGCACGTCCAAGTGAGTATAAAACTTTGATAGTTCACCCGAATATTTTAACGTTTGAATGCGAATTCACGAGTGTCGGCTTTGCATCGTTTCATGTCGTGAAATATTTCCTTAAATGAAGTGTCTATAACCGAAAGCTTCCAACACAATCACAATTTACAACACAATAAAAATCTCAACTTCAACAGAACAAAGTTGTGCATGAATTCGTCTACTAACTTTGTGAAATTCTTTTAACTACTACTACTACTACTAATATTAGGTTGGTGCAAAAATAATGTCGTTTTTGACGTTGTTGAACGTCAAAAACGACATTATTTTTGCACCAACCTCATAATAATAATAATAAAACAACATATCCATTGTTTGTACTACAACTACATTATCGCTCCAGTTAATGTACCATTTATTTGATAATAGTGTAATTACATCAGACCGAGAAAAGCATAAGAATTCCAATAAATCCTTACCAATCACATTAATATACTACATCGCATAAAATGTAAAAAACGATTACAAATACAAGAGGCGTTAATCATAAAAACAACAATCCCACATAAATAAAAATGTTATTAAAGTTAGGAACAAACAAGTTAAATACTGCGTGCAGCGGAAATACTTCCTACATATACCCCCCATAAATAACTGGTAAAACATTAGTGACAATGTCTTCATCTAGATAATACCTTAGACTTATGTGGGTGGTATTTCTGCGCGGAGAGGGTATAAATCATAAATGAATAATAATAGAAACAAAACGATAACATAAACTGCCACGTGAAGAGGAGATACTTTAAGAAAACTGACAATAGATGCGAAAACGCGTTATTAGAAAAATGATAAAACCGACGCGTTACTTGAAAACTTGTAAAACCTAATTAGGACAAAACAAAACACGCCTGAAAAGGGTTTGTGAAAGATGAAAATTCTCGTAGATTAAACGGTTTGTATTTAAACTTTGACCAGAAACCAGAAAAAATGCTGCGTATGTGTCCGTTCTATTTCTTCGAATACTAGTAGGGATGTTGATTTTTTTTTTTTGGTTTAACTTAATTCTTATCTGTATTATGAATACCTATGTCATCAGCATAGACCCCCCCCCCGCCACCTTAACAGTACAATGACCTCGGGAGGGAAAGCAGGAACGCTTAAATGATCTAGACCCATCTTTTCACATCTGTGCTTGTGCACCTGCAGAGCCAAGGAGGATATTAAACAGATTGGAGCTATCATTTCCTCCTCATACCTGTTTTTTTATATACTCATCTTTCACCAATCTTCTTTTATGTGCTGTGTTCCTTCAGAACATAAGCGATCATGGCCCTCCACATCTTCCTGCCCCTTGTAGCTCTCTATAAGGTTTGTCGTTTTGTTATTTCTCCCAAATCCTGTTCTACCATCGATTTATTCAATCTCATCAAATATGTTAGGTGCTGCTTTAATGTGACCCTCTTCCCTTCAATCTGTCCCACGAGGATCAGAAATTTCAACTGACCATTTTAAGTATAAGTCTTTTTTTTTTGTTTCTATTTTCTTCAATCTTCTTTTATGTGTCATGTCTTTTCAGGACGTGGGCGATCATGGCTCCCCACCTCCCTCTATCCCTTGCAGCTCTCAACAAGTTCCTTCCCTCTGCTTCCTCCCCCAGACCACGTTCTGTCATCCACTTGTTTAAGTCCGCCAGATATGTCAAGCGTTTTTTCCCTTGTTTCTCTTTCCCTCTATTCGACCCGTGAGTATCAGATTCTCCAGGCTCTCCTTCCTCGTTATGTGTCCTAGAAACTTCAGCTGCCTCTTCTTGATGCTAAGTATAAGCCACTTGCTTGTTTACAACCCCTCTAAGACCTCATCATTGCTCACACGCTCGGTCTATGATATCCTTAGCATCCTTCTGTAGAACGACATCTCTGTCGCCTCGAGTCTCTTCATCTTTGAGGAAATCGTCCAACATTCGTTGCTGGATAGAACAACAGATATATCACCCGTGAGTATCAGATTCTCCAGGCCCTCTTTCCTCATTATGTGTCCCAGAAACTTCAGCTGCCTATTCCTGATATTAAGTATAAGCCTCCTCCTAGTTTGCATTTTCCTTCAATACAAGGCTTAAAAGCCACTATGCCGGGTTTTATGAGCGCAAGAAAAGACAAGAAGGAAAGTTCATGAAGTTATAAAGGAAAGAATACGGTTAACCTTAGACTTGAAGAGGCCAAGATTGTAGTGATTGGGAAAACATCCTGCTGGGAGTCTGTTCTACAAAGCAGCAGCTCTTGGGAAGAAGCTGACTGAATGGAACTTACTTCTTACTAATAGAAAACGAGGGGTAAGAAGATGATTCACTCTTTTGTATGTAGCATGTCGGGTCCTAGTTGTCAAAGTCAGGGCTGGTGAGTCTAAGGAATGTAGCTTATCAGAACACATACCATGGAAATAGTGATAGAGAAACAAGAGGTTCACAATGTTTCATCTGTGATAAAGAGGTTGGAGGTGGAAAATAATTCATCATTCACAAGGTGGCGTAGATGCTTTTGAATGCTATCAAGACAGGCATGTGAAAACATTAGTTAGTATAATAAAATCTCACATAGTGTATGTATAAAACAAAGTCACAGTATTTACATTAGTCGGACTATTGTCCTCATCTTTGTCGCCATATTTGTCACAACGGTTCGGCCGTTGTACGCTCCGGCCTTCTTCAGGTGGTTGGAATGTCGAACTGAACCCTTTATTTCGATCACTGGGGTAGACTGTTCTAGTTCCACGTGCCATGTTTGATGGATGTCAGTTATCAGTTATCTCCTGCTAATTTTCCCTCTAAAAGTTCTCCACTGCCTTAACCAGGAATTGAACCACCTTCTTTGGGTCTGTCACTGGATCTAACCAACGCCTTTATCCACTGTGCCACGTGTCCTTGAGGAAACATGGCACGTGGAACCAGAGCAGTCTACCCCAGTGATCGAAATATAGGGTTCAGTTCGGCCGAAACGTTGTGACAAATATGGCGACAAAGATGAGGACAATAGTCCGACTAATGTAAATACTGTACATAATACCTCTTCTCAGAAATATAGACAAAACAAAGTCAGTTTGACTTTATAGATACGTGACAATTTTCAAATCTTTTTTTATATTAATGTTCACTCAACAGAGACAAATGGCAGGGGGTTACTGTGTTGTGTTGTATGAGCGCAAGAAAAGATAAGAAGGAAAGTTCATGGGGTTATGGAAGAAAGATAATGGCTAACCTTAGACTTGAAGAGGTCAAGATTGTAGTGATTGGGAAAACATATTGTTGGGAGTCTGTTCCACAAAGCAGCAGCTCTTGGCAAGAAGCATCTAAGGAGGTTCGAAATGATTACTTATTAGATTCTTCCCCAGAGAAATACGACTTTGGGCACTGATATAGTTTCAATATAACATCTAGACATTCAGTGCATTTAATTGATTCATTTTTAACAGTTTATCAACTCTTTGCAGGTTATTTAAAGCCAGAATATATTTTTTAGTTTATAATTTATTTTCTTTTAGATAATAATAATAGTTTTAGCGATACAAGTCCTACTAATTAACCCATAACTGGGGGAGATCATAATTTTCTTAAGGTCATTTGCGCGTAAGTGAATATAACGAACCTAACTGGAATTTGAACTCGGCTCTCCGATTAACAATTCCGAGCCACTATCCATTACACGACTCGCAGATCCAAGCTTGCAGTACCTGATATTTCCAAGCGGCCACCCATCTTGGTACTGACCAGGTTTGGCGTAGCTTAACTTCAGTGATCGTACATTCAGTGGAGTCAGAGCTTGGAAAACAGTTACTAGTAGACGAGAAAATTGTGGTCATATGCTGTTGTTTATTTGAGGAATCGGCCGAAAACTCACCAACTTCACCTCGTAATATACTCTAGAATCTATTGAATTTTTAAAAATGTATGTGTTATGAATAATCAAGAGTGATCTCCCCGTGTTTCGTTAGTCCCTTCTTTGAGAGAGCTATTTCTGTTTACTTGGATTATAAAAGGACACTTATAGGCGAAGTTTGTATTCTCAGTTGAATAAAGCTCTCCTAAAATCTACACAAGTGTACTTTTGTCATTACAGTATGTTAATTTAATATCTCTCATAATAACATCGAAAGTGTTTTTTTTTTTTAGCTAAATATATTTAAAACTAAATCAATGAATGATCTTTTGAAACAATCTCGTGTTTGTTTCTGTACTTATTTTATACACGTTTTTTTCTTAATCTCTTTTTTTAATCGGAATCACCCCATGCAAGGCAGAGAAGCTACTAAGACACAAGGGGTTATTGGGTGTGGAAGAAGTAGGAACAGAAACATAATGAACAGGAAGAAAAAAGTATACAGGAAGAGAACATCGACATTGCATTTAAATTTTTGTAGATTAAAGTTGACTGGAAAGCATAGAGCCGGATGGGAGTTCTACAAGCAAGTGAGAGTAAAGTAACTGTTAGCATAGAATTTACGGTTACATCTAGCCAACTCAACTATAAGTCGATGAGATATCGACGCCAGTCTAGTACTGCTGGCAATAACGTTTATTTCAGGATATTTCGCTGGCATTTTTAATAAATCACTTCTGTCGGTTCAAATTGTATAAAATGGGTTCATCATAGTTCATTTTTGGTTAGGAGTAATAGGATTTTTGGTGCAGTTTCTCGCCTTCCGTATTTTTTTCTCCTATGAAAACAGCACAATGTTTTACGTTTGAAGCGAAAGCGATACGAGGATGCTGTCGGCCATAATTCTTTTCTTTTAACTTTCATTCTGGAATATTTCTCATCGTTTACATCAGAGGTAAAAACAGAAAAAATATCAACGTTTGTATTTTGTTCTTCCTTTTACTATGCGCATAAAATGTATGCTGAAGCAGGCACGAATCAAAAAAAGAAGCGGAAACTAAAACCGGAAGTTAAATAAAACGAGAAAAAATAACTATATATTTCAGTGCGCATGCGCACCCATTTTAATGTTTAGATCCTATGAAGCCACGAAGGTTAAGCAGAAATTAAATTTTTTTTATACTTTGGATAGCAAGGAATTTTTTTCCCAAAATTAAAAATTTAAACTATATATACCCACAAATTATAACAAGCGACTACTTTATTTTTACTCATTTACTTTTAGTAAACCGCTTTCTTATTTTCTAGGTTTGTCTCTACGCACAAAGAAAGACGTCAGCCATTTTCTCTTTCGATGACGTAAAACTGAAAATTGGTTGATATAAGGAAAAAGGATTATGGAGAGACTTTACACTCAGCCAGAAAAAGTGTAATATGTGCCTTCTTTCTTTATTATTAAAACTTTAAAATGGACTTTATATTTTTTAAATTTTTATGCATTTCTTTCTTTTTTAATAAGCTACTTATGAGTGTGAAATAGTTTTTTTTTTAAATGGTGATTGTCTTTGATATAAAATTTATGATGTATTTTTAAATGCAAATGTTCCTATTCATCTTTCTATCCATAAACTGTTACTAGTATCTTGGTATCCAGACATATGTCTGTTAAAATCTTGGTTATATAAATGTTTACCAAAGAAATTTTATATTTACTAATTTTAGCCGTCCTGGGTAAGACGATAAACTCCGTCCGACAGCAAGGCCTCTGATCAGGAGGTTTTGAGGAGCGTGGAACCACCTCTTAATTGCTGGTGTTCCCAGGTCCACTCTGACCCGGGGTGGTAGCACCTGTTAGGGTCCCAGCTAGGGGCAAAGAGTTAACCCCCAAACGAGTCAAAACACTATGAAGGTGTAAAAATAGGTTATAATACCAGAAAAACTTTGAAAAATATAATTACCAGCAATTCATTATTACCAGCAATACATTTTTGAGAAAAAATATAATCAGCTATATATTTGTGAAAAAAATCGCCAGCTATATATCTTTTCAAAAAAATATTATCAGCGATACATTTTGAAGGAAAAATATTACTAGAAATTGATTTTTTGAAGGAAAAATATTACTAGAAATAGATTTTATAAGGAAAAATATTACCAGAAATAGATTTTTGAAAGAAAAAATATTACTAGAAATAGATTTTTTGAAGGAAAAATATTACTAGAAATAGATTTTATAAGGAAAAATATTACCAGAAATAGATTTTTGAAGGAAACAATATTACTAGAAATAGATTTTTGAAAGAAAAATATTACTAGAAATAGATTTTATAAGGAAAAATATTACCAGAAATAGATTTTTGAAGGAAAAAATATTACTAGCAATACATTTTTGAAAAAAAAATGTTACCAGCAATAAAAATTGTCGGCATTGAATGACCCATTAAGATTGATATGCTGTAAAGCAAACTAAACCAAACCAAACTAAACCAAACCAAACCAAACCAAACCAAACTAAACCAAACCAAACCAAACCAAACTAAACCAAGCCAAACTAATTTTACCTTAGTCTGCCATAAAGTTATAGCGCGCCAAGTGTCTCAATACAGTAGTAACTTTTTTTTTACAAGAATGGTTTGTTAAATACTGCCCAATAGAAAAGCTCCATAAAAAAAGAAGGTTGATCGTTTTCAGAATAAAGACGAGTTCAACATGCAAATTACAATTTAGAAACGCCAAATTGAAATGAGCA